CGATTGGCACAGGACAGAGTGGAGTTTAGGGCTGTTGTACATAGGGTCGCTATGAGTCGCAGGCGACTCGACGGCACATAACAACAACAACAACATAGCTAAGCAAATGGAGTATACAAGAGGAGGATATTTATTGAAGGAACAAGGTCTCCAAAGAGAAAGGGGGCAAAAAGAGAAGATGCAAAAATGAGGAGTGGTCTTAAAAAAAAAGATAATGGGGAAAAAAATTTTAAAAAAAACAGATAATGGGGTTTTTTTTTCTCTAAGATAGTAGAATATATATGAAGATTTAAAATAATCTTTTAGAAGTAAATTGAAATAATTTGTTCTTAGAAACAATGTATTTGGCGAGCTCTGATGGCCTAGTGGCAAGAAGCTGCACTGCAATCCCAGAGGTACGTGGTTCAAATCTACTAGATGCTCTGCTGAAGGAGGAGGGACAATCTCCTCCTGTACCAGTCAGATCCAATTTGACACACACACACAAAATAAATAAATTTTTTTTTAAAACCCACAATGTATTTGAATTTTGTAAATAAACGAGTAGAAATTTTTAAGAAGAAGTAAATTATATAAGAAGTAAAAAAGTTAAAGTCAGATGAGTCAAATTATAGTAAAGGTACAAAATAAGATAATCTTCTGATATTGTTCAATATACTAAATATCTGAGTACCTACTATATACCTGATAGCAGAGGTATACAATTAAATGATATAGTCTTCAGTGGCCTAGTCTGCAATGCGTGGTTGTTAACTCAAGTCATGCTTTTCTAGTGGTTCAAATCTACCAATGACTCCACAGAAGTTAAAATAGACTATCTCCTCCTATTCAATCTATAGCCTAAGAAACTCACTGGAGGGTCAGCTATGTGTCGATTCCAAGCCCATGTTTATGGGAGAATTGGATACCATTTTCCATATCTCTTGGGATCAAGAATTTTTAAAAAACACTATAAATATAAACACTAAAGTCATAGACACTAACAGCTCTACGAAGCTAAGAAGAATAACCACATTGAAAGTTATGTATCTTCAAGATATATTGTACTTCCCAAGAAGTGCTGCTGGTGCTATGGTTAAGGCATTTGGTTGCTAAGCAAAAGACTGACAGGTTCGCACCAGTCACACCATGGGGAATAGATGAGGCAATCTGCCTTAGGGGGTTGGGGGGAGTCCTTAGAAACTTTATTGTTCTACTCCATCCTATAGAATCACTATGAGTTGAAGTTGATTCAGCATTGAGTTTACCATATCTCTGTATGGGAAATTTGTTATGTGCCATTGAGTTGGAATAGACTTATTACTGATCCCTCAGTGAGTTTTCCAAGGCTGTAAATTGCATGGAAGGAGATTGCTTAACTTTCCCTCGTAGAGCAGCTGGTGTATTCGAACCTTTGAGTTGTTAGTGGAACTCCTTACCACTAAGTCACCAGAGCTAACCTTGTGAGATTCCAGAGGCTCAAAAATGAAATATAAAATTTTGTTCCTTTGGAAGTCATAATTTCATGAAGAAATAAGAAAATAACAATACAAAGGATTGGTGATGTTAAAGTAGAAATAGAGCTATGGGAGTTCTTAAAGAGTTCCATTCTACAAATGTACAGGGAAAAGAAGAAAAGATGAAGAGAGCTGGACAGAACACTTCAAAGAGCAGGTAAAGAATACAAAGTATTACCATGAAATGGGCAAAGAACTAGAGTTATAAAAGCTAGTGGGAGGAACACATTCATCATTTTTTAAGCTGAAAGAACTGAAGAAAAGATTCTAGGCTTGAATTGAAAGACTGAAGAATTATGTGAGCAACATATTAAATGACACAGAGGAACCAAAAGAAGACAAAAAGAATACACAAGATCTCTATCCTAAAAGGAATTGGTTTATGATCCACCATTTCAAGAGGTTGTATATGATCAAGAACCAATGGTATTGAAGGAAGAAGTACAAGCTGCACTAAACACTTTGGTGAAAAACAAAGCTCCAGGAATTGATAGAGTACCATTTTATGTAGTTCAATAAACAGATAAAGCCCTGGATATGCTTACTCATCTATACTAAGAAATTTGGAAGACAGCTACCTGGTTGACCAACTGGAAAAGATCTATATTTGTATCCATAACAAAGAAAAATGCTCCAAAAGAACATAGAAATTATCAAACAATATCACATGGAAGTAAAATCTTGATGGTTATTCAAGACATGGCTAGAATAGTATATTGTTATTGTTATGTGCCGTCGAGTCACTTGCAACGCATAGTGATGCTATGTACAAGAGCCCTAAACTCTACTCTATCCTGTGCCAACCTCAGTGTCAGTGAGACACCTATTCCCATTACCCCAAATATTGAATCGATCCATCTCATCCAGGGTCTTCTTTTCCAAGCTATCCCTCCAAGACAATGATTGAATTATAGACATTTTAAAATGCAGTCTGAGAGTAGCAATGAAAATGTGTTGTAACGAAGCAACATAAATCAATTGATCATAAAATGTTTCACTGAGAACTTATTTTAGCTATATTTTACTTTATACAGATTATGAAGAAGAATCCACATGTGCATCAGTTAGTAGGTATTTCAGGATTTCTTTCTATTTACTGTAACATTTTGTGTATCTTTGTCACAAATTTTCAAAAGATTATGTGTGTGTTTTCCTCTGAAGGACTATTTTTTAATTATGCCTCATTTAACTAACTAGAATTCTAATATTTGACAGGAAAACAATGAAGCCGTTAGCAATCTACAAAATCTAGAGCATATGTTAGTTTCCAACTAAAGGCATGATTGCTGAAAGTAGGAGGTATTTTCATTTAGAATAGATAATACATTAAATATCAGTAGTATAAAAGCACATGTTCTTTCCCTATCTACATTCCTAAATTTAGCTGTGCAATATAGAAAAACTTTTGCAGAAGTTTCTATGTCAAAGACTGTAACTCCATTTTACAGGTTCTGAATGCTGAAAATATATCTTACAGCTTAAAAAGATTTTCTTGTGATCAGTAAGTGAGACATTTAAAGAACTTTTTTTTTCTAGTTTATGACTTGGATTCCTTACTAAATTTTATTTTTAATATTTACCAAAATTTAAAAAAAAACACTCTCTTTGGAAATTAATCAAGAACAATTCCCCACCCCCCCATGGCTATTTATCTAGCCTTGGCCCCTCCCACAAGTTATTTGTTAACACTTGAGTAGGCAGCTGTAGTGTTGATTACCCATTGCTCCTGTCTCTGGCAAAAGTAGAGGAAAGAAAGCAGGCTCTGTGGAGGCAGAAATACAAGATGGATCTCAAAAGTCAGCGCGTGAAATTAAATGATGGTCACTCCATTCCTGTCCTGGGATTTGGCACCTATGCACCAGCAGAGGTAAGGAGAGTGGCCTAGGGACTTTGAGGGTACAGATGAAAAAAGCCCCAGGCTGAGTGGAAGCTGAGCCAGGTTATCACATCGCCAACTTTTATGTGAGGACTCTAGGGTGTCATAGGAATCTCCGTTTTCCCAGGCTGTAGCTAGGATAAACTGAGAAGGTAAACAGGCTTCACTCAGTCCTGAGTCTGATGTGTGATCAAGAGATGATTTTGGGTATTGCTTTTTCCTTGTTTCCAATAATATCGCAGCTTCTCAGAACAGATGAACCTGACAGTCAAAAATAGTCTGGCAGCTCCTTTGTAGTGAGATAGATTACAGCGGGAAGAGTTTCTTATATATTCCTACAACTCAAGAACTTTTTTCTCCTCCTAAGGAGAAATAATGCCCAGAAGTCTTTGAGTAATGCAAGTGTGTGAGGAATGCTGAGAGATAATTAGCATTTCTATTCTGAGGGCTAGTTAGTAGATGGTGCATCGGGACTGAGCAGAGTTTTCTTCACATGATTTTGGAAAACTCATCCTGAAAGGAAAGATAGCTTCATTTTAAAAGAAAGACTACAATCCTGTAAGGCAAAGTTTTCAATTCTCGGTATATGTTAATGTACCTTAGATCTGAAACAATTAGGTGGAGTTAGTCTCCCTCACAAAGCAGGTATCAAAGGGCAGAACTCAGTACACTGGAAACCACATAATGGACATTCCAAGTTTATCTTTTAGACTACTTAGCTCTCTATCAAGAGACTAGGGCCTGAATTCTTGGGTCCTACTTTAAGTATATCTAATATGGAAGAAAATATTCATGAGACATTATGGAAAATAGGTGGCAGGATTTGTCTAGTTAATACTGCAAAGAAAATGTGTGAGATAAGTCAGGTTCAAGGAGATCCTTGAGTACTCAGATTTGTTGATATCCTCAGGCCGATATTACTTTAAATTTTAAAAGATAAATAAAGTAGGTGTCTGCCTTGAAAACCAATTGTTGGAGTCCGATTATGGCTAGAGTCATCAAAGAGTTTGTATTGTTTCTCTCTGGTAAATTATACTCTTGGAAACAACTATATTCTTTAAGTTATTTAGCAAAACATTTACCCTAAGAGTGGTCTTAGGACCCCCAAGGCCGGGGGGAGACTCCAGTTTTCTTAAGCTGGAGGAAATACATTGGAGGTACAACTTCTTTACTAAAAATGGAAAATTTCCAAGCAACCCATGGAATTAACACAAATTATGAAGGAATAATTCATTCTGGTTAAGATAAGTACTTATAGCACAAACTACCTCACAGTCGAGTTGATTCCCAAATACTATGTTTTGTTTTTTCTTAGGTGCCTAAAAGTAAAGCTGAAGAGGCAACCAAGATAGCTATTGATGCTGGATTTCGCCATATTGATTCAGCTTATGTGTATGAAAATGAAGAAGAAGTTGGAAAAGCCATTCATAGCAAGATTGCTGAAGGTGTTGTAAAGAGAGAAGACATATTCTACACTTCAAAGGTGCTGTGTATATGTTGTGTGTATGCATAATTATGGTGAACTTATCTAGACATTGGTTATATAATCATTTGAGTAGATTAGTGAATTATATTTATTCGTACACATTTGTAAACTAAAACTAGTGCCAAGAGAAGAAAGATGGAATGGTGAGTTTCTAGTCATTGCTATGCTCGAATCTTATGACTTTTATTTTCTGAGTTTCAAACTAAAGCATTGTGATTTTGCATGAATGACAGAATTGCACAGATCTACAGTCTTATTGTCAATGTGGCATGGCATACTGACATTCTGAATGTTAC